TCCACGAAACCAAGAAGTTGAACGTCCACACCTACAATGCGCTGCGCAAGGCATTGTACAAGCCCGCATGCTTCTTCAAGGGACTTTTGTTCCCGCTCGTGTCCACCGGCACCTGCACCCTGCGTGAAGCCCACATTGTCTCTTCTGTGGTTGCCCGCGTCTCCGTTCCTGTGCTGCACTCCGCAGCCGCTCTGCTCCGCATGTGTGATCTGGCCGCGGAACAATCATTGACCTCCCTTGAAAGCACCGGTGCTGTTAACATGTTCATCCGTGTCTTCTTGGAGAAGAAGTATGCCTTGCCATACAAGGTCATTGACGCCCTGGTATTCCACTTCATGCGCTTCCGCGCCGTCGATCCTTCGGAGGACGCCATGAACGACGGACCCACAGGGCTCGGTTCCAAGGCATACAAGCTGCCAGTTCTCTGGCACCAGTCCCTTTTGGTCTTTGCCCAGCGTTATCGTAACGACATCACTGAGGATCAGCGTGAAGCGCTTCTCGATTTGCTTCTCGTCCGTGGACACAAGGACATTGGACCTGAAGTGCGACGCGAACTGCTTGCTGGCCGAGGACGTGGTGTGGTGGTCCCCGACCCGGAGGCCCAGAATGCTCTCGATGCTGGCGACGACACGATGGATGTCACCATGTAGATGAGTTGATCATAGCCCCGCACATGTTCGCTTACGATATTGTCATGAGCACGTTTCTATGGGATGGCGTTGTTTTTTTCTTTCTTGTTTGAGGGACTGCATATAATTCCCCTGGTGTCGAAGGTTTCCAAAATGGGATGACAATACCGATCACTAAATTTAGTGTATTGAATTGAGGTAGACATAAATCGTTATCTTTTCACAGTCAACTCATCAATCCACATGCAGATGCAGCGAATGGTAGGAGTCACCCCTATAGATAACCTCCTGAGTTCATCCCTAAATAGTAACGGAGGGGCAATGTATGTATACGTTGTGCCACGCCGTTTCAGGCCCTCCACCTAGGCTGCATGATTCTGCCGTGTTCGAGGTGGTTCTGTAGTATCCCCATGATGATTTGCGCCAATCTAGATGGCACACTGGCCCCCTTCTCCATAGATGTACATAATCCCAGTGTCACATTCTCAGTCAGGGGCACGGAGAATTAACGGGGTGGGGCATGATTAACCTACAAAACACCTGTGATTGGCGTTTAAATGGAGCATTCTCCGGGCAATCCTGATCGCGCCTTCAGATTCAGGAGAACGTATCAACACTAGGTCCACCCTAGATTGTTCGAGACTCTTTGCGATATGGGATCATTTGTATTGTGGGACAGATGTATTATGATTCAGATAGATCGAGTCGGAGTGACCGGATGTGTCTCGTATTACCCGAGGGATCAGAAGCTGAATGAACATGTTAAAATATGTAAAAATATGTATGATGTACTCAGTACTTCATGTTAATTCTAATGCAAGTGTATGGCAAATATCCCAATTATAGAACTCAAGAGAGGCAAGACAGTGACCAAGTGCCCACTTAGGATGTAGGTCCTCCGTACGGAACTCCGTGGTAAGAAGTGCCCCAAGTGTGATGTTTCAAGCGGCAAATCATAATTGGCTGCCGACAGGGGCTGAACCATGGAATGCAGGGGGAAATTAACGTAATTTACGTGTCTGTTACAAGAACTCAGCCCCCTTTTGAGGTACTTGGTGGCACATGGTAAAATGTATGGTGTAGCTTGTACCTAACGTACGTGTGTGCCCAGGTTCCAAGGTTTTCCCCCCCCCCTTTGTTCCATCCGACGCCATCCCTTTCAGACCACGCTGGCCTGTACTTAAACCTCATCTCGCCCATCCGTTTGCAGTTGAACAGCTGTCCTTTCCATTCTTTCTCTCTCTCTCTCTCTTCGCTGACTCACCCTCTGACTCAATCTTCCCCGGAGTCTGGTCTCCGGTGCCGATCGTGATGATAACGTGGCCTCTGTGATTTGAACTCCCTCTTTTCACATAAGTCATTTTAAGTCTATACATATACACTGCAAATTATTATTCACGTCCGGCACCGGTTATCCATTTGACCCTGCCACTATGACGGATACTATCAACCCGTTGGATACCCTACCAACCTCACCATCCCCTGAGATGTACACAGTTTCCCCCGCGGATACATCATTAGACTCTCCGGAGCCAGAAGATGATATTAAGGATGAAGATGACGAGAAGAAGCCAACAAAGAAGAGAAAGTCTTGGGGACAAGAACTCCCAACCCCTAAAACAAATCTCCCTCCTCGGTATGTTCCCCACCCTTCAATAATACATATTGAACCCCGCTGACTCTTGTAGAAAACGCGCCAAGACAGATGATGAAAAGGAGCAGCGCCGGATAGAACGGGTCCTCCGGAACCGTGCAGCTGCTCAGACATCACGCGAGCGCAAGCGCCTCGAAATGGAGAAGCTTGAGACCGAGAAGATCCGGATGGAGCAACAAAACCAGTTCCTCATCCAGCGTCTATCACAGATGGAGACAGAGAATAACCGCCTGAGCCAACAAGTGGCCAAGCTCTCTGCTGAGGTCCGTGGATCTCGCAGCGTGACTCCCAAAGCCAGTTCTCCCGCCCTCGAATCTCCCACCCTCACGCCTACTCTCTTCAAACAAGAAGGCGACGAACTTCCTATGGAACGGATTCCTTTCCCCACTCCCTCCGTTACCGACTACTCTCCTACCCTCAAACCTTCCACTCTGGCTGAGGCCTCCGACGTGACACAACATCCTGCAGCGGTGTTGTGTGACCTGCAGTGTCCGTCGCTGGCCTCGAAGGATCTGGAAGCGCCCTACCCCTCTTCGACCTCTCCGACGAACCTCAGACTGCAAATGACGTTGCAGCTCCTCTTTCTGACGATGACTTCCGTCGCCTGTTCCACGGTGATTCACCCGCTGAGCAAAATCCTTCTTTCCCTGAAGACGGGTTTGCCTTTGACGTTCTCGACGGAGGAGATCTATCAGCATTTCCCTTTGATTCTATGGTTGATTTCGACCCCGAGTCTGTCGTCCTCGAAGGCGTCCAACCGTCCGGTCTTTCGGATGAGACTTCTCACCAGACTACTAGCTTGCAGCCCAGCCTTGGCGCGTCCACTTCGAGATGCGACGGGCAGAGCATTGCAGCTAGCGGTTAGTGAGACTTTCTCCCCGCAGACCTGGTCGGCTGGCGCCTCGGAGGCTCGACCGAGTTGGGAGTCGTTATTAACCATGGCCTGGGCAATCGATAGTCTCAGCCTGTCTAAACGACACCAGCGGGGAAACACAATGAAATCCGGTCGGCAACGCAGTAATGGAAAGATGCATCGAGGTACACGGAGTTTCCGGAGTTCCAGCGCGAGCAAGGCTCTTTCATCCTTGCTCATGGGCAAACAGCGCTGAGGGTTCCAATTTGTTTTGGCCTGTATACTAGTTTTTTTAATGCAAAATCGACTGGCTCATCTTGCAATTATTTCCACAGCGTAAATAGTACATCCGGCAGTAGTTCCTCTAAATCACCAGAGTACTCCGTAGCCTTTAATCTATTAAGAGACATTGTTTCGGCATATTGGTCAAATCTAGACTTGTCCGTTGCTAAAATAAACTGACTTCGGGGACGCTAAGAATGCACTGAATGCGGTCAGTGACGTTGCCACGCGCCCCCAAATCCATCTGCCTTCCACAACACCTGCGATTCTCACCCTCTATATTCTCTCTAACCGACATCATGGTTCGCAAAGACCCCATCTTCGAAGCCCGCACAAATGTCAAAGTAAGTTGCCTCCCCGCACTCTGCTTCCCCTCCTCACGGCGTGCATCACCCCGCCTATGCATGAAACCGTGGCTAACCTTATCTTCCCAGCTACACTCCAACAGACTCAAGAAAGAAGCCGTCCGAGCGGAGGCGACCTTTAAATCTGAAAAGGCCAAAGCCGATAAAGCGATGAAAAACCGGGAGTTCCAGATCGCCCGCATTCATGCCGCCTCCGCCGTGCGCGAGAAGCGACGCCAAGTAACGCTGAAATCCGAAGCGGCACGCGCAGATGTCATCATCAACGAACTCAAGGCCGCCCAGAGCACACGCGACACATCCCGGACGCTCGCTATGGCTTCACGGGGCCTAGATGCTGCCTCGCGGAGCGTTAACCTCGAACACCTCGTCTCCCACGCTAATAACTTCCTCGCCCGGTCGGAGGACTTCAAGATCGCTAGCAGTGCGATCGAGGATGTCGCACAGGGTATATCGATGCAAGAATATGGTGCGGAGGGTGAGGCCGATGTTGATCGGCTTATGGAACAACTGGCAGATGATGCGGGTGTTGATATGCGCCTGAACCTTGAGGCGGATGCTGCGCCCAAGGAGGAAGTTAAGGAGCCTAAGCAGGTGGATGCTGAGGTTGAGGATGGCCTAGGTGCAAGGCTACGAGCTTTACGGGCTGCTAATTGAGAAAGCGGCTTATGCTTTCTCTCTCTCCTCTTGGTTACTCCGCATTTACGGGACTGTCAATTCCCCCATATAGATTCCTCGCGATCTCTGGACCTTGCAACACACTGACGATCCACGAAGTTACGCTTGTATTTCTTTCTGCGCTGTTCTATGCGTGACTAGGCGTATTCAACTAAGTTTTTTTTCCTTTTTTCCTTTTTGTTCATACATGAGGCTAGCCAATCCTGAGTGATTGCCATCCTAAAAAAAGACTAAGAAAAGACGATTTCGGTAAAAACATGAGGCGAAAAGTCTAGGGTCTAGGACTAGATCGTAAACAGACTAGCCCTCCACTTAGCTCTGGAAAATTGAGAGACATCACCAATCACATCCGAGCATCTGCCTACTCTAATGCAGGCAATTTCCACCCGAGCAGCAACCAGTATAGCTTAGGCGACAAACCGCCCCCAAATTGACCAAAAATAAGGGTCTTCCAACATGAGGCGCCATCTAGGTTTTTTTTAAAAAGCCATGGACACCTCGTTCCTGACTGTTTTCCCTACAAGCCCCCAGGACCATTCAAAATGGCGCCTTCACACTCGTTCATTCTTTTCTTGTCATTCGTTTTGAGCCCATTCGTTAAGGCTGCCCCTTGGATTGTGACGGATACCTACGAACAAGAGGTTAATACGGATTACTATTCCGAGTTGGTCACCGAAATCAATCAGATCACTCCAACAGCAACTTTGCCAGCCGAGGCCCTGTCCACCATTACTTCCACCAATACTGTCTATGACTACACCGTTGTCGAAAAGCTATATCCCACTGGCTACGGCGAGGAGCGCGGCTTATACGATGGCTACCAGAACGTTGTGGAAAGTGATGGAACCTATCATAGTACCATCTACAAGGTCAACCTGACTTTCTCGGCCCCGACGGCCTGCTCTACTCAATGGACCACCACGACTGCTGTCCAAGTCCGCCCTCCCTATGGGATCGCGACCTTGTTGCCCAAGGATCATGTAACAACCTCGACCTCGATCGACAACAGCCAGCCATTCCAGCCCTATACCTACATCTACGAAGTAGTGTTTGTGGAACCCACCCAAATCCCCAGCAAGACTCTGGACTCTCTGAGCTACTACCACACCCCTACCTCTCGGTACATAGGTACCGGATGCCAGTACACGGGCGTCAGCAGCGATTATAGCGGCAACTCTGGATACTATACTGGTTTGTCAGACGGACCAGAAACCACTCAGTACACCGGTGGAACATCCGGCAGCGATGGATCATCCAACAGTGGCTACTACTATGGCTACGGTGATGACGACGAAAACTGGTTCACCAGCAAATGGGGATCCGGCCTCGGCATCTCCTACCTGGCAATTGTATTGATCTGTGCGCTGGGCTGGATCGGCATAGTTTTCATCCTGGGCATGATCGAAGCCTGGGTGCGATTCCGTCGCCTCATGACGGGCTGGCAGACCCGTCGTGGTCTGCCTCTTTTCTGGTCATTCCTCTTGCTCCCTCTTTCCCTTTTCTGTCTGTTTTGTTTCCGCAAGGGATACCGCGCCCGCAGCAAAGAGGACGCTGAGGTCCTCAAGCAAAGGTGGGACGCGATGGGTTTCTGGACGAAGATCCGCTTGTTCTTCGCTTGGGGTTTCCGCTTCAAGTACCCGACTGTCTTGGGCCCGGCACCTGCGACTGTCAAGGCAAACAAGAGGCCCGTTGAGTCTGGTCCACGCTTGTTGGATGTTACTCCTCCCGGTACTGGTGCTCTGCCAGCGGGCCATGGCGAGGAAGCTGGTCCCGTTCGCTATGCTTGATTGAAGATTTATACGTGATCGTTTGCTATGTTGAATTCGGCTCTGTATTCACTGGCCGTTGATAAGCCACGAAAAGACCAACGACCTTATTGTTTTGGACCTTGTATTTAGCGACTAATGTTTAATTAATACCACTCACTCTTTACTCGGTACACATGCTCGGCTATTCCAAAAATCAAGAACTTAAGCTCAAAGGGATATCCAATATCTAATGTTACGTCTCTGATATCATCTCTAGAATAAGTACTCGGTGGCGACTACCTAAATACCACCCTGCTCTTGCCATATCTACGGCCGATATACAACCTAGAAGTGTCTTTCCTCTTCAACATCTTCTTTCCAAAAATCTGTCCTTCGATTGCATCACATCCATTCCATCGGTTGGATTTCTTTGTTTGGGTCGTTGGTGGTATTGTGTTACCACTGTCGGCACCCAGTTTTCTTTTGTCACTTGGATAGACAGTGCCTGCAATGAGTGTGACTAACTCGGAAAATATCTGAGATACGAACCATTCTGAAAAGATGTTGAGAACTTGAATAATGTGGACACTTTCTTTCAAAGTCACTGGTTTGCAAATTTAAATAGAATATATAATCAGATATCAAACATCATACGTCACGTGTGTAGCATTGCATATTACTTGCTAGAAGCACCCCTTTATTTATTTGCACCAATGCTTTAAAAATTAGAATAGTCTCCTTCATTATAAGCAAATGATAAAACAAAAGAGCAAAAAAGAAATCTCAGGTTTGGTTTTAGGAATAGCCGAACGCGGGGGTCGAACCCGCAGCCTTAAGATTAAGAGTCTTACGCTCTACCGATTGAGCTAGCCCGGCCGGGCTGTTGGAAGAGGCTGCACTATAATGCTACATTAGCCAAAACCATTACTAGTCGATTGTCCCCGACTCCCGCATCTCCATCACACAAGTGTCCATGGCCTAGATCAAAACATTTCCTCATGGAGATCGAGTCGGCAGGTTCCGCCTCTAGCCCACATGGAAAACAAGCTGCATGCTTGAACTGTCGGCGGAGCAAGATTCGCTGTAAGCGCCTCGCAGGCGAGTCCAGCTGCGAGAAATGTAAACAGACCAGTGCAGAGTGTATTGTGCCCAACCATCATCTGGGCCGACAAAAGGGGGTTAAAAAGTGAGTCAAATCAAGTCGTTGTGGAATAATATACTGACCGGAGTTTAGTAAACGCAAGGGCCTGGAGAAAGCGATACATCAAATCGAGCAGGCAATCAAGCGGCCTAAGGTCGACTCTACCAGTGACGATGAGGCCCAAAGAGCCATTTTAGTCCTCCAGGAACTTCTCGGTCAAGTACAGGGCCAGTTAATGCATAATGAGCAAGAGCATGAGCGTGGATATTCAGAGGCATCAGATCACCCTCGCATGACATCCCCACGTGATATGCATGCAGAGGAGAGTCTTGCTCTTGACGATGCAGAAAATCCTCTCCAGCTGCTTGCTAGAGCTTCGGATCTTCAGCTTTCGCCGACCGGGATGCGGCGTGCGCCAAAGTCTCCACCGCCATTGTCGGAGGGTCCTTCGTTCCTTCAGAGCACCCCTATAGGAGAGCCGAGTGCCAAGTCCTTTTTTGTCCCTGCAGGAGCGAACTTGGATGTTGGACCTGAAGTTGACCCTGTTGAGCTGGGGTTGGTCACATTTGATGAGTCGGAGTCTTTATTCTCATTGTAAGTTTTTTTTTTTTTTAAAAAAAAAAAAAATTTAGTTCAACATATATGACTGACAGATCAAGCTTCTACCAAAATCTCGCACATACACGATGGGGCCTCGACCCTTTGATACATACCCCGTCCTTTGTACGGTCTCAGTCGGCTTTTCTATTTACCTCGATAATGGCAGGCGCAGCCCTATTTTTGCCGTCTGCTGCTGCTTTATCCAAAAGACTATCGAGGCATTGCAAATGGCTCGCGAAGCGAGTGTTCACACACCGTCATAGATCTGTTGAGATTGTTCTGGCTTTCATGGTGAATGTTCCATGGATGTCTCCTGGTGATAGACTAGGAGATGATGATACTTGCTCCTATATTGCCATGGCTCTCACTGTTGCTCTAGACTTATCTTTGAACAAGATTGTCTCTCCCTCTTCAAGCTTTGACCAAGAACAAATGAATCGTTTAGCACGAGCAGAGTGTATAGATGCCAAGAGGGCTTTACACATGGATGGATTTGGTGACATTGACCCATCTTCAGAATGGGGCCTTCGGCTGTTACGAAGACGCGAAAGAGCTTGGATCGCGTTGTATGTCGTCGAGAGGGGGTACGTGTGATTATCCTAGTATTACATTTGGATCCTACACTAACTTGTTTAGTGTTTGTCTTGCGCGAGGACGAAGTTATACGGTCCCTTTGACAACGCTCATCGAAAACTGCGATCGTTGGCACCTGTCCAATATTGCGGACCCGCGTGATGGGCCTATGAATTCCATGGCAGTTCTTCGACGGGACCTTGTAGGTGCCATCCGAAGCTCCATTTTAAATGCTCATACCGTCCTATCCAGTTCCATTCTAACAGTTTCAGGATGGACTTTTTCAGAAAGTTAAATCAAGCTGTGATGGTTATTGCTTCGTCGATACCGGCTCGGAAGCTGCTCATTCGTATGCTATTATGTCTTTGATGTATATCATTTATATACTGACCATCTCACAGGATTAAGAAGACCATTCAAACCTTTTATGAGCAGTGGTATGCAACATGGGCCTTGTCAATTGGCGAAGGAGACAGTAAGATTAATACCTGAAATTGACTGACTAAATATTAACAATTTACAGCACGATCCCTACCCCCCTATGTCGAGATTCTTGTCACACACACTCAGTTGTCCACCTACGGTGGTGTTATCAATCACCCAACAGCTCCAATCGAAGTTAAGCGTTTTTTCCGAGCCGCTGGTCTTTCGTCAGCATTGAACGTCCTGCGAGCAGCCATCCAGGGTGAATCTCGACTGAAATCAATGCCAAATAATACCGTCATAATGATCTCCTTTGCCGCATGCTCTGCTCTCAGCCTCAGTATAACACCCGGTGACAGCAGATCCAGCCTAGCACCCAGCGTCCGAAACCTCATCGAAGAGACTGCCGGTGTCCTAGAGAGAATTGGAGCAACACCAAGTCACCGAAGCGGCGCCTCTGTTCTTTACGGGAGATTCTTACGCGAGTTGATTCGGCGTGCACCAGCCTTGCCTCTACAATCCCGAGGAAATCTAGGCAAAGTCGATACACCCGAGCCGGCATTTCAGTCTTCATCCCTGGATCATGGTCCCCTGCCAGTAACACTACCACCCGATGATCTCTGGTTTGAGCCATTGCAATTTTCTGCCATGTCTGACAATCAGATCGTCGATGCGGTCAACCGAGCGGGCACGGCGTTTGGTGCGTCGATCCCGGATGTGCCTCTTGATGACATGCTTAATTGGGATTGGCTTGACTTTGCCAACCCGGATTTCAATTTTTAGTAGGACCAGAAGGCGGATGTTTGCATACCCCAGTGTTGTTTTTCTTACGTTTATACGATTAAATCTTCGTTTTCCGAACATGTTCATATTACCAACTTGCATGTACCTATGTATCGTTGAGAAATATCTTAATACACTTTCATCCAACATACCAAATGCAAGGCACTGATTGCCCCGAGATGCAGATCCCTGTCCCACAGGACGCCGTGGCAACAATACAAAGTAGACAGCAAGTTATAATTCGCCAAGACCCACGATCTAGGGCCAAAAGCCACACGATGTACAAGATAATTATGCCAGACAGATCATCCTTGGGACCATCCTGGTTAACGTCATAGGCCCCTCCCCGAAGCATATCAAGAAGCAGTTGACGGGTTGATTATGGGTTTGTTTTGTTGATATTTTTGGCGGGTCATATTTGGTGTTTGCTCTATACTGGATACCTATGACGTCGGAAGGTATCTATACAAGATGATTGTTCCCCCCCCCTCATTTATAATGAACCAATAAGAATGTTCCTTTAAGCCGTGGAGATCCGTCGGAAATTAATAGAAGAATAGAAGAATAAGTGGAACATTAAAAGAACGTCGGTCGGAGGGCTTCCGCGGGTGGCCGCTCGGCATCCAAAAGTAGCTCCGACTAGCCGATGCGGTCGATGTTTTTAACTGCGCGATGATTTCATTTTCGCGTTGTTTTTTTTTTGCAAGTATCAAAGATGACGACTCTTAGAATATCTACTACATTGTCGCGCAAAGCGCTTACTGCCTGTCGACCTCGACTCTTCGTTGGAGTCCGCGCCAGCGTGCGCCCCTTGAAACCATTTAGTACCAGCACCAACACTAGATACTCCACAACCGCACCATTACAATCTCTCGCTCCTAAGATTGAGCGCGGCGGGTCAAAGCTGTTTAAAGATGCCGATGCCGCTGTCGCCGATATCAAGAGCGGATCGACAATCCTTAGCTCTGGGTTCGGTCTTTGTGGGGTTGCAGGTACGTGGACCAGTAACCAGCGCGAGAATAACATAGCTAACACGCAGTATAGAAACCATCATTAACGCTATGCACCGCCGAGGCGTTGATAAATTGCACTCCCTGACAGCCGTTTCGAACAATGCCGGCTCCGCGGGCAAGGGAGGCCTTTCAACACTCTCGCAGAACGGCCAGATCGACCGTCTGATCCTTTCATACCTCGGGAACAATAAATCGTTGGAGAAGAAATATTTGACGGGACATATTGCTATTGAACTTTGTCCGCAAGGTACTTTGGCTGAACGTCTCCGTGCTGGTGGTGCTGGGATTCCGGCCTTCTTTACCCCAACAGGTGTCCGTATGTATAGATACTCCTCGGATTATGTTCGTCGCTGACAAGCAAAGACACCTTTATTCAGGAGGGAAAGATCCCTGTTCGCATGGACGAGTCTGGTAAAGTTCTGGAGTCTGGCAAGCCGCGCGAAACCCGAGAATTCAACGGCAAGACATACCTCATGGAAGAAGCCTTGACCGGAGATGTGGCTATTCTGAGAGCTTGGAAAGTGGATGAGGCCGGTAACTGCGTGTTCCGGTGAGTACATCTTATTACCACATCCCATAATCTGTATACTGACATGGAATAGATACACTACCAAAGCATTCGGCCCCATTATGGCCAAGGCTGCGACCCTGACAATCGTGGAGGCGGAGAACATTGTCCCCGTTGGCTCCATTGATCCCAATGATGTGGACCTGCCGGGTATCTTCGTGGATCGGATCGTTCCTGCCACAGACGACAAGCACATTGAAAATAAGAAGTTGCGCTCGGGCGAGGCTACTGCAGCTGGGTCTGCTAAAGATGCGGCTCAGATTCAAAGAGAACTCATTGGTCGTCGGGCGGCTAAGGAGCTTAAGTCGGGATTCTATGTGAATCTGGGTGTTGGTATTCCTACGTTGGCACCGTCTTTCCTGCCCAAAGATGTGAAGGTTTGGATTCAGTCGGAGAATGGTATATTGGGAATGGTAAGCTTCTAAAGTATTATCTACGGGCTGGTCTAACAAGATTCAGGGTGATTATCCCACCGAGCAAGAATTGGATCCGTAAGTTGTTCCCATATGTGAGCTTAACTCTTACTAACTTAGACTAGCGATATCATCAATGCCGGAAAAGAAACCGTGACCTTGGTTCCTGGAGCCGCCACATTTGACAGCACCGAATCCTTTGGCATGATCCGCGGAGGTCATGTAGATGTGTCTATTCTCGGCGCTCTCCAAGTGAGTGCTAACGGCGATTTGGCCAACTATATGATCCCCGGTAAGGTGTTCAAGGGTATGGGAGGAGCAATGGATTTGATCTCGAACCCGGAAAAGACTAAGATCGTCGTGGCCACGAGTCACGTCGCCAAGGATGGATCGCCCAAGATTGTACAAAAGTGCAGCCTGCCGTTGACTGGTGCCAATGTTGTTAGCACTATTATTACCGACCTGGTAAGTAGGAAGAGTATAATTGATTTAAAGACAAAACTGACAAAAGTACAGTGTGTCTTCCAGGTGGATCGAGCTACTGGAGAGCTCACACTGACAGAGCTTGCTCCGGGTGTTGAAGTGGAAGAGGTACAAAGCAAGACGGAAGCTAAATTTAATATTGCCGAGACCCTTGAGATTATGGAATAAAGAGACCGGGGGATTCAGGGTCCATTGTATATACCCCGCTATGGTAAGTCGGACAAAGGGCTTTTGGCTTTGTTTCTCTCTTATAGCCCTTGAGTCTGGAAATTATTCTTCATTTTTGTATCTTCATTTTTATTCCTACTTATATTATAACATACAATATACAACATACAACATAGACTCTTTTTTAAAGTTGTTGTGTTTTAAGTGTTTTAAGTGTCAAGAATTAGGCAGACGAATTCTTTGTTTGGGTTCACAGGCATCCGTCAAACAGGGGGGTCTACAAGGGTCTTAGCCTTCGAAAACAAGCTCACCCGATAAAATAAGCTTACATGTGCCTAGCATCTTAGAATTCGTTTTATCTTTCTTTCCATCTCACCATGGCATTCTACCCATATGGGTTGGAGCCCATTCCAGAGCATGAAACAACTATCTTATTCTCCGACAATCGAGTGGTGTTAATGGAGCCAGTCATTCCCTACAAGCCCAGACGGTCCACATTTTCGATTTGGAAATGTTCTCATCCGGAGTGTATTGCATATCCACGCTCCAAGAGAGCCATTTTCTGTCGAGTAGTCCAGCGACCTCTCTGGGCACTGATTTTCATTCTGTGCGTACCTGCTGTTACTGCTCTGGTGTGATTTGTTGACTTTTTGATCGTGTTATCCACAATCGACTCGTGCTCGAGCTAATAATGTTGCAATTTAGTGGTATCATTAATTTCTTCGCCGTGGCATGGCAATGCTTTATTTATCTCTTTCAACATGATCTCGAGTTGGGTATTTCCCCCGGTGAACGCTCCTCTAGGGGTTCCAAATGGTTTAATCACGCCGTCGTCCCCGTACCATGCAACTCGCACAACGACTACTGGCGCCATGTTCCCCTACGCTCGGCACTTCGTGCAGGATGTACCGGCGTCGAGGTTGACGTCTGGCCATGGGAAAATCAGATCCTAGTCGGCCATTCACGTTCTACAGTCCTTCGGGGAACACTCCAGAGCCTCTATCTTGACCCGCTACTGAAGATGCTCGACAAATCCAATGCGCCCCCTTCTCGCAACTGGCCGAAAGTCACAAATCAGGAAATGGTCGGGCTATTTCCCTATGACCCAAAGCAGACTCTGACCTTGTTGATTGATTGCAAACCCGAGGGTGATCAGACCTGGCCTCTTCTTGTCGAACAGCTGAACCCGTTGCGTGAAAAGGGCTATCTGACTCACTTCAATGGCTCTGATATTATCCACGGCCCAATTACTATCGTCGTCAGTGGAGACGCGCCTTTTTACCAGATCTTGGAGAACGCGACCTACCGCGACGTCTTTTACGATGCACCTCTTGGAAACTTGACCTTCCCTACCGAAATAACGGCAGATGACAACAGACAAATGGATTCCACTTATAACCCATCCAACAGCTATTATGCTTCAGCAGACTTCCGAAAGGCTATTGGGTCTCTCTCTCTTGGTCGTCTGTCGGATGTTCAGCTCGCTACTCTTCGAAGTCAGATACATGCAGCCCATGAGTTGGGATTGAAAGTACGGTATTGGGGAACTCCGACCTGGCCGATTGGACTGCGTAACCATGTTTGGCATACACTAGTGCACGAGGGGGTGGATGTGCTAAATACAGATGATTTACGTGGCGCAACTAAGCAGGACTGGAAGCCTCGCCACCGATGGCAGTGGTGGTTATGACACGATTTGTGTAGAATTTTATACGTTGAATTTGAAATAATGAACTGGTGGGCTTGCCACGATTAACATCCAGAAATTGAAGTCAGTATATTTGTAGAGCACGTAAATTACGTCTACTAGATGCCATTTTCATCCCTTATAGAACCATCATAAACTCTGGGTTGCGATCATCGTTGTACCCTGCGTATTGATCATACTTACCCTTCCTTTTGTCTCGATTGATCTTTACGCAGTAGAGCACGTTAAGCAGAATCCTATATGAATTAGCGATAGCCTTGCACCGACAATAAAATGCAAACTCACATAAACCATGCAAACACCAACAATCCAAGGATAATGGTATGTCCACGGTGGAAGAGGGGCGCATCTCGAGACGGATAATTGAAAGCTATAGTACTGATGTTAAAAGGTCTGCAAACATAATAGAATTCAATATGTGGGACTTACTTGCAACAAATCCTCCAGCATTTGCAATTGCCAGCTGCAGCGCTGATGTCGTGGCTCTTTTGTAATGTCCCGCAGAGTTGTTCGACAACCATACCAGGATGCATGGTACACTGGCGTATTGACCGGTCGCCATGAGGAAGGTCATGCCATATTGAACGCGAGGGGAGTCAATGTTGGCGATGGCTGCATATCCAATGATAGCAATTGGGAGAGTGAAGAGCATTACTACGCCTCGCAGACGGAGACGATCGGAGATGATGGCAACGACGACTAAAAAAGGAATGAGCATTTGATGAGATCGACCCAAGGTGAACAAACCTGTAATTACGGATGCGACAGCATAAGGTATCACAGACCATAACTGAACCTCGTTGGCGTCTTTGGCGAAACCGAGGTTTTTGATGATTGTTGGCAACTAGAAACCGTCAGTGACTTTGTGGCGGACATAGATTAGGGGAGTCATACAAACAAACCAAAAGAGTATATCCCAGAGAGAATGGCAAAGTACGCCGAGGCAGATAGCCACACTTGTAGATCTAGCACACCTCGACGTACTTCTGACCATTTGAACGATTCTGCCTCAGGCGTCAAGGATCTGTATGCGTTAGCCAAGCTTTATCGTCTAGTGGGTCGGAAAAGCTTACCCTTCTAGTGATCCGGGGTTATCAAGCATCAGCCTTTTCCTCCCAAAGGCCTTTTCCTCTGCAGTTAAGAAAGATGCAGACTCCAAGTTATTTGGAAGGAAGAAGAAACTTAACACTCCACAGACAAATGTCTACTACACAGTCAGACAAAATTTTTGGGTTGATAGCAATCACCTTCACGTACCAAAAGTCCCTCGATGATCAAAATCCAGCGCCAACCTTCTAAGCCCCCTCGCGGCCCGATTTCCGCCAATCCACGAGCGAGAAGCCCTAATTTGTTAGCATCCGTCGAAGAATAAATGAAGTCGATGCATATGTACCTCCAAATGCGCCCGACAGGGAAGCCGCTGTGTAGAACAAGCCAATGCGCAGAGCCAAATCGCCTCGTCTATAGAAAGAAGATAGATAGAGAATCTTTTTTCCTTTGTTAGCTATGACGAATTTCAAGTTTATACAATCCTGGAAACATACCATGCCAGGAAGAAGACCTCCCTCCGCAATACCCAACAAAGCTCTGACGGCGACGAAACCAGCGAAGTTTTGTACAAATCCTAGACACATGGTAATGATGCCCCAAATAGCCGCCAATAACGGCAGCCAAATCTTCGGCGATGCTTTCTTGAGCACCAGATTACTCGGTAGCTCACTTTCATATCAATTAGTCTTTGGTACTAGGGCCCAGTGGCACAAAACGCACCTGCAAATGTAGGTAAGATAGAACACAGCCAAGCCGACATCGTATTGGTGGTCTGTGATAGAAAGATCCGCTTCTAAGCCGAGAATCTTCGCATTGCCGACATTGGTCCTGTCCAAAAATGACATGAGGAAAAGCAGTGCTAGGATAGGAAGAATACTGGGAAAGCATTAGCAAGCGCACAGTGATCGTAATGTCTGAACTAACTGTATGTCCAGCTTCCACAACACCCTCTGTGTCAATTTCTGCTGACGCGTGAGATCGCCATGTTGATCGAGGGGAGATGATTTCGCCTGTTCGATTTCTGACACTCTTGACTTGGGTGGGTCCATGATGTAGATTGTTGCTTGGCGACGCACGAATGATCTTATTCTTCTAGACTATATTTTGCAGCATAGGATGGGGAGAAAAGAGGAAAAGAATTGGAAGAAATAGCCCACAAACAGTCAGAGAGCCTCCATCGGCTGGCACTTCTGGGCCCGAGCTTCCGAGCCCTCTCCAGCCCCTTTTCGCCAATGGCAAAGTTTCCATGAACTCTCGAGTCGGATGTTCTGTTTCCCCGCGATCCCCGGATTTTCGACGTGTTCTCCACCAGTAATATTACGGAAATATTTCACCGAGGTTACTGTCATATTACCACCCACTCCGTATTTCTCGGTGCTCATTTCTGAGCTCCGTTTGTTTCCAAAGCTCCGGACTTCGGGAAGAGAATTGGTCTTTAATCTCAGTCTTTAATGGAAAAATATCCACACTCAGGGAACAAAATATCATCATCCGACATGTCTCGACTTTCTACTAGCCTCAAGGCATTAATCAATGCCCCTTCCGCCCGCCCGTCCACCGTCCCGGCTCCAGCAAACATAACCTCGGTCTACCAAAAGATCCAACAAACCGCGCAATCCAAACAAATCTCGCAGCCATCATGGGTCGCACTATCAGTGAGTTGACCTCTTCAATTAAGATTGAATGCGATCTAACGGCAATGATAGACTGCAGCAACAATGACCATGAACTCCCCGGAGTCCCTCGCCGCTCTCTACGAACTAGCCAGCACCAACCCCGATAAGCAAGTTGAGACCGCCGAGCTCATGCGGGAGGTCGGTCTCAAATGCATCAGTTTCAACGGCATCCCACGCACCATAAACTGCCTCAACGCCTTCAAAGCCAGCCTCTCGGACTCAGTCGGCAGCCAGCTCTCCCGCACCCCCACCCGAGCGCCAACCCCGGAGAACATAACCGCGATCAGTGAGCGCGGCCACGCACTCTGGGATTCTATCTATCGACCATTCGAGAAGAAGCTATTCAATAAACTGGCCGACTCACACCCCGACCTGCCGGTGCACATCCTGCACGGCAACTACGGGGCCCTGTTGTCTGACCCGGAGCGTAGCACTGGCGCGTCGGCTGGGCGGATTCTGACGTCGATTGTTGCTATCTCATGCTTGCGCGCTCAGTCTGGCGTTGGCCCCCAGGTTATCTCGCATGTGTTTGGGTTGCGGAAGGCGCTTGAGGATGGCTCGTGGGTGAATGATGTCGAGGGGGAAGAGGCTGCGCGGTGGTTGGCTAGCGATGAAGGGAATACGTGGATTTTGAATAGCGTTGATGCCATCGTTGAGGCTATTAGCCAGGGCACTGGGTCGAACTTTGCTCCTGCACGTGCGAAGCTGTAAATTTATAAAGAGTGTATACCATAAATATTCAATACTATAAGTTCGCTCCGAAGGATGGAAGAGTTGAGGCCTCTTTGAAATCAAGTATCTAGCGGGTTCATCCGTGCGGGCGAGGCGACCATACACCTGCGCTGGGTTTACTTCGGGCAGGAAATTGATTGGACACGAAGCTGCATGCCTGTCTGATGAACAACCAGGGTGTTCGGCGCCTTGGTAAACAAAAGGCAGGCAACATAAGACCCCGCGGGAGTTTTCGCTGGAAAAAAACCCGGCATAAATGTTTGTCTTGATTCCGTGCTCATCAGAACCCCCGCACGAAGATGCAATGAGCTGGCCTAACAACGGCATTTGCGGTCCATTCCACCAATCGCCGTGATATTCCTGTGACTGCGCAGCGTAAGCTGCATAACGAAGTCAGAAGATACCGTTATCACCAATTCGATTGCTTTGTCGCATAAATTAGAAGACCCATTTGATCCGGTCGTGCATACCCTACGTGTTTGTGGCGCAAGATAAGTGAAGCTGCCATAGACACTTAAGTCCGTCATGTCCGTTCAATCTGTTGTCGGGCAATGGCACCTGCGATTCGCGAGGTCACCCAGACACTGATCGAGGCAGACACAACTCTTGTGTCAGTCATTACTCTGGGGAATACTCGGCCATGGCCAACGTTGAACTTGGTCACATTGACCGTGACCACCCCATTCACGACTGTCATCCATGTGGTCAATATAGCAGAGACTCCTGCGCCTGAGCAAATCAGTTCGACCCAAAGCAGTGGACTGTCAGATGGAAGTAAAGGCGCAATAGCAGGGTCTATCCTCGGTGCTGCGGCCTTTCTACTGCTCTTATACTATCTCTATCTATGTCGTTTGCAGTCGCGGCCATCGGCTCCACGATCGGCCAAAGTTCCACTTGATCCGAAAGATCCTACACCACCTCCTGATCCTGTTCCTACTGACGATAAACCGGCGAGGAAAAAGAAGACTGTTACCATATCGTCTGATCTTCCTCGATATCTTCCTCGATTCTCGGCCTCGAAGGATAACAAGTCATACATCTCGCCTCTTGTGAGATTAGCGACAGAAACGAACTCGAGGACTGGGTTCGAGACGAGAGAAGGAAGATTGGGACAACAGATTCGCTTCATGATTCGAGCACGGGAGAAACAGAAACCGAGGAAGAAGCGCCGGAGATCTCATAGGCGTCGGAGCAAAGGCAAATCTGCGAAGACTGAGGGTATGAACTGATGAGAATGGCTCTAATCTAATATGTTGTATGTAAATATGGAGTTGTTGAGAGAGGCCGGTTAGAACATACATTTATCCATGTCCATTTTCCTTCGTTTAGCCTGACATGGTCTTTATGTACATTAATGCATTAACCTAGTTATATCATTCTACATATCCCCCTGAAAGATAAGCTTCAACCAGTCAAAGTCTCGGGAGTCAGCAATTCGGGGAGTGGAGTCTTTCGGAGCTCTCTCGGGGGAGACTTGCTTTCTTCATTTCCGTGTCGGACACGAGAACGCATTCGGCAACAGGGCCGTCGGGACAGTCCCGTAATTTCGTCAACTCAACAAAAACTAACAAAACTAAAAAAAGTCTAACTTCACTTAATTCACCATTGAGAACCTCGGCTATTACTATATTAGGCAATTTTCTAGAAACAAAATATTTGATCAGTCATCTTTCCGACCACCCCTGGCTTGGTGAAGCCCAACGCAACCAAATTCTTCTTAGTGGCATTGACCATTCCAGGAGGCCCACATAGCATGACCTTAGTGTCTGGCGATGGCGTAGGAAGCTGCTCAGCCAGAACAGCCTGGTCCACAAATCCTGATCCATAGGTCCAGCCCTCGGGCGCAGAGTCCAGCATATACCACAGCTTGAAGTTTTTCGGGTATTGACGCGCGAACCGTTCAAGCTCCTCGCGTAAGAGAATGTCAGCCTCACTGCGGTTCGCGTAGACCAGACTAACTTCCGTCGTGTCGGTGTCGTTCTCGCAAATTGCCCGGATAAGCTGGTACATGGGTGTGATACCTGTGCCGCCAGCCACCATGCCGATCTTGCGACAAAGACCCTTTGTGTAACGCATAGAGCCCTTGGGCCCGCGGAATTCGACTTCATCGCCCACGGTCAAGCCGGCCAGGTATTTCCCGCTCAACTGACCGTCGGGATAGCACTTGATCACGAGTTCAATGCGGCCCCGGTCGAGGTTGTTGGAGGTAGGGGTGTATGAGCGAGTGACAGTCGTTCCATCGACAACGGCTCTGATGGCAACGTGTTGGCCAATGGGCAGACCCAACACATCTGTGGCAGTTGGCAGGGCAAAGACGAAACGGTAGACATTCGTTGCTAGTTCGGTCTTTTCAACGAGAGGCAGGCGTTGATATTGTTGCGGCTCGAGGAACCCGCGTGTCATATGAGGATCGACGCGAATCACCTTCTTGGACTTCATGTGAGGTGGGAATCGCATGAATCCAGAGTCGATCTTGGTGAATTTGTCGGCCTGTCGCGCTACCATTACTCCTACGGCTGTGGAGATAGCAGAAGCGGCCAAAAACCCGTTGACGAAGCCTCCATGAGGCAGTCGTAGATTCTTCATTGGTTGAGGGATCAGTTGGGAGATAGCTCCCAGGCTGTTTGTGAGATTGTTGCTTTGGCTGAAGATGTAGAAGACTGGGATCAGTCCACCCAGAGCATAAGTGATCGTTTTGATGGTCGATGATGAGGAACCGGCCTCTTCGGGTGCTTTTTGGGAGACAACGCGCACTGCCTTGGGCCGGACGTACTGCTGAGCATCTTTCAAAGTGCCCACCAGGAATGGCTGCATGATCTCGCGGGCGTCTTCAGAATGCCCAATATCCTCATAGGCTGCTGTGGCATCAGTGCCGGCTACCTCGATGAGAGCGTCTGCACCACCTGGGTGATCTTGCAGATACTTTGTGAGTTCAAAGACTGTTGCAATGTTAGCAATGTCTTTTTGATCATTTTAAAAAGATTGTTACCTTGTCCGTGGATGACCATCCAGGTATCACCCTTTGTGTTATGTGCTGCCACATCTTTCAATGTATACTCTGGCAGCTCGACATCTGGCTTCCACTCAGCCTTCAGCTCTTTTGTTTCTGGAACGGACATTGTGAATGAATGATTTTGCGAAAACTAAAAGGACGGAGTCTTAATTTAATATCACGAAAAAGTACTCCGTACTGGAACATGGAATTATCGCAATAGCCCACTTAGCACTTCCGATATGTACATAAAACCAGCCTACCAGCAATCAGGGATTCAAAATGCCTCGGCATCTCAAATGAAATAAATTAAATAAAAAATAAAAAATTTAAAAAAAGCTTTCTCTTGTCGGTGGGGCCGTCTGAGACGGCACATTTTGCGCCAGTGCCGTCGGCCACGGTGAGCCCGAAACAACGTCCACCCTGTTATTTCTGGACTGATGTTATTGTGGATCCTAATTAAGAATCATTTTGAACCGAGGCACTCAGAGATATGCAGCTTCTACTATTATGAAATGAAAAAGAATCGGGACGCGCTTTCATGAATAGTGGAGTCAACTATGCAGTTTCAAATGGCTCAGATAATTAGATCCTTATAAATGTAAGCGGGCCCTTCAACCTTGGAAGACAGGACGAAGACGTTATTATTTCTATTCCCATTTCACGATGGTTGCCAAACATTTTTACTTGCTGGGCGAGGCTATTACCTCAGCTCGCCCAATTGAGGTAGAGACAACAGTCGACTATCAAGGGCTTCAGCTCCTCATTGCTGGTCAATTTGCCATCGTTGAGCCAAATGGTAAGTGCTTATCTCATTTCCTCTGATGACATTCTAACTCTTAAGCTAGGCATCGGATTCCAGTCAGAGGACTCGATGCTGTCTACTCCCTCCGAGATCCTTGCCAACGAACAACCCATCGCTATCTCAGTAGATGGAAAGGCAGTGCGGGAGATCCCTGGTCCCAAGGGTCTGCCATTCGTGGGAAACTTCTTCGAGGTCTACCCCGATCACTTAGGAAATCACCAGCGTCTATTTGACCAGTATGGACCCATTATACAAACCACCAATATGGGTCGGACAGTCTACCAGACCAATGATCCCGAGCTATCGGCCATCGTTTTTGCCGAGTCTGATTTCTTCACCAAGAGAATCAATGAGGCACACCCTTTACACCCGATTAAGAACCAACAAGCGGGTGTGTTTTTGGGTGATACCGATACACCCGAATGGCGCGCGGCACACAAGTTCCTCCCGCCGGCGTTGGGACCGAAAGCAGTGCGCCACTACGCGCCCACTATGCAAGAGACTGTCGAGGATGCATTCAGTGTGTTCGATGAGCTAGACGAGCGCGGCGAGGCTTGGAACGTCTACCCGTACATGCTTAAGCTTGGTGCGCAGGCCGTGGGCAAGCTTGTTCTCGGTATGGACTTTAAGCATTTCTCCGCCGTGGATGCGCCACCTCATGAGCTTGTCTACCGAATTGCCGAGTCATTGGAGTTGAACAAGAAGGTGACCGCCCGCGGTGATTGGTACGCCAAATTGCCTTTCGGTGACCCGAAACGACTACGGGATGCTCGCTATCGTATCATTGAGATGGTCAACGAGTCAATTGAAAACGCTTCTCGCAATGGCGTCGAGGATCTCCCGTTGCAGGATGCTGCATTGCAGGCCTCTAACATGATTGGTAAGTGTAATAACCAGAAGATAGAAAACTTGAGCTGACGTTTAGCAGATTATATTATTCGCGCCACCGATAACAAGGGCGAGAAATTGCCCAAGACAAGTCTGATGGAGGCACTAGTAGTAGCCACCGGCGCTGGTTTCACGACCACTAGCTCGTTGCTGTCGTGGCTACTTTATTCGCTAGTCAACTACCCCGGCATGCAGGAGAGACTCCTACAAGAACTGATTGATAACGACATTGACGCCGATACCCCGATGACCGCAGATCTGATAGATCGTCTGACATTCCTGGACAAGTTCATCAAAGAAACCCAGCGTCGTCATAACCCTTCATACCAGCCTGCGCGCACTGCCAAGGTCGACATGATTCTTCCAGGCGGATACAAGCTCCCCGAAGACTCTATCATCATTCCTGCCCTTCACCACATACACAACAATCCAGCGGTTTGGTCTAACCCAGCACGATTTGACCCGGATCGTTGGGATACGGAGGAAGTCAAGAACCGCCATAAGACTGCGTATATTCCCTTCGCTGCTGGACCGCGTATGTGCATTGGATTCAGCTTTGCCTTGCAGGAAGTCAAAGTATTCTTGCCCAAGTTGTTGTACCGGTACAAATTCACGAAAGAGAATGATGGGCCGGTTGAGTATGATCCCATGTTCCAGTTGATTCGTCCTACCAATTTGTATGTGCGGGCGGAACGACGAGTGAAATGGCCCCCCAAGACTGAGCAGTAATTGAGCAGAGGGCACAGCTGCGAGGATATTTGTACATAATAATTTTCCCTTCTATACTCCGAAAGAGTGACAATTTAGGTTTTCAGTTCTCAAAAAAGCTTAGCTCCGGCCCGAAGCCCGACCCCGAGGCCGGAGTTAAAACGTGAACGGGGTGTTTCAAGTTGTCTCTTTCTTCAACCAACTGATAACCTGATAATGGAGAATCAATCGCGACCGGCGCGTTACATGGCCCACGCTCTCGAAGAGCTGGGCCTAACCACCATGTGGCGGTCTTCGCTCGACGTAAAGCTTCTCTGCGCGCAGCGCTTCGTGCGCCTCTTCGCGTACGGCGGGTCGACCTTGATTCTAGCATCGTATCTGTCAGCCATCGGGATTTCAGATGATCGCATTGGCTTGTTTATGACCCTCACGCTGGTCGGAGATGTGGTTATCAGCTTCTTCCTCACTCTATTTGCTGACTCTCTAGGTCGCAAGGCGGTGTTGTCGCTCGGATCAATCCTTATGGCTGGCAGCGGAATCATTTTCGCGCTGTTCGGAAATTTTTGGATTTTACTGGCGGCTGCAGTCTTTGGTGTCATTAGTCCAAGGTTTGTGGTTTTCCCCCCTTATTTCTAATTTTATCCGCGCTAATTTCTTAGTGGAAATGAAATTGGTCCGTTTCGCGCTGTGGAGGAATCCACTTTGGCTCATCTCACACCCCGTGAGCTTTTGAGTGATGTTTTTGCTTGGTATTCCTTGATTGGAACTGCTGGATCGGCCACAGGCATGCTTGTCTGTGGTTGGATCATCAATTCTCTCGAATCAATCCACGGATGGGCTTTCATTCCCGCCTGTCGCATCATTTTCTTCGTCTATGCCGGCGTCGGCGTCGTTAAGCTAATCTTCACTTTGGGATTGAGTGGCAAGATTGAAGTCCAACAAGAGGAGCCACAGGAGCAGAGCTCTGAAACCCGACCGCTGCTGGCAGACCCAGTCGAACGGGATGTCGAGCCAGTTCCGAAGAAGAAGGGACTGTTCCCGTCTATCGAGAAGGACCTGTGGTCGCTGGTTATCCGTCTCTTCATCCTATTTGGAGTGGACTCGTTTGCGTCTGGATTGGCCTCACTGTGAGTGTGTTTCCAACTCTCCTCGGCTACGATGCTAATTGTTTTTAGGTCCTGGATGACCTACTTCTTCAGGGGCAAGTTCAATTTGCCTGAAGGTGAACTCGGTACTATCTTCTTCACCACAAACATCATCTCCGCGGCATCCATGCTGGTAGCCTCGTCCCTTGCCAAACGTATTGGTAATGTCAAGGTAAAGTATTCTTCCTACTCGGGCAGCTGAGCAAGTTCTAACTTTTTGATAGACTATGGTATTCACTCATCTGCCATCGGCAATCTGCCTGGCCCTCATCTCCGTCCCATCTAGCCTGCCTCTGGCATTGACCTTGTTAGTTCTGCGAGCCTGCTCCCAGAACATGGATGTGGCGCCTCGCTCCGCATTCCTTGCTGCGGCTCTGCCTGCAGACAAGCGCACTGCTATCATGGGTGCGGTGAATGTTGTGAAGACTACCGCCCAGAGCATGGGTCCCCTGTTGACGGGTATTTTGTCGCGCAATGGCCATTTCGGCGTGTCTTTCATTATTGCAGGATGCTTGAAGGTGGCCTATGATCTTGGCATGTTGTTCACCTTTGCTGGTAAGGAGGCTGCCGCTCGGAAGCAGGCAGCTCAAGACGCAGATGAAGAGACAAGTTAGAATCTTGACTTGGGTATCATGGGTACGGCTTGTTGATATATTTGTTACACCTTCGCAGGAAGTACCATAGAGAGTCTTGCTATTGTACAGTCTGATGTGTGCCTAGAATTATCTCAAATATCATTTCGTTTGGTCAGTATACCAGAGTAGTCCAGTGCCCATGATGACATTGGACGACACCGAACGATATAATGTACAATACCGTAGCCTCTTCGCTTGACCATACCATTGAAGCTTTTTATCTCAACTAATATTGAGTTGAGTTCTGAGTATAAGGAATATGGCACTCATCCTCTGTATTAGTATAATGAGCTAGGGAATTGAGCAGTGTTCTCATATAAAAATTGAATTTTAATTGACATAGTATACACAAATGATTCCAATTCATGAACATAGACCGAACGCTCAGATATACAATTCTAAAAAAAAACCAAATCTAAACAAAACGAGTAGCCCTGTTTCGCAAAACAGACAAGCGCCGACGTGACATCACAGTGTGATTGCCCGGGGCAGTGCCATTGTGGTGCAGCGTAACATTCAAGTGGGGAGCATGGTGCTTGCCGGAGACGATATGGGAAGTCTTATTCTTCAACAACTCCATCGTCTGATGAATGATCCGGTCACTCTCTGCATGACCAGCATTATTAACTCGACTCTCCTGCTCGGGCTCTCGCTGGTTCTGCATAACTTGGGAGGAACGCCAAGAATCCGAGTTCGACCCAGGTGTCTGAATATTACTGATATCCTCAACGGAAGTCTGTTTCTCCGCGCGCACAGGCGCATCGGGCTCAGAAGTAGGCGTGGACTGCTCTGTATCCACTTTCTTGTTCTCCTTTGTTGGAGTGTTCTCGCTGTGGAGGGGACTATCGCTGTCGCAAACAAGATTTACCCAGACTTGGCTGTAAGCGACGAGCTGGCGTGGCTCGCACTGGCTGACTTCGACGCCATTTTGGATCTCTTTGCTGATGAGGGGTGGGTCGATGCATCCCGGGACCTCGTGTACGGTGATGTTGCAGCCACTGCCGCCTTCTAGGAAGGGGAGGTCGTGATTGTGGAAGAGGAGCTCTGCGTCGACAGAGATGGCGCTGACGAGGTTGTGCTCGTAGGAGGGGACGGCGAAGTTTTTACAGCTGTCCACGGTGATGTCTTGGGATGGAGCAGATTCTTGGTAGTTTTCGTATGTGTCGAGCTTGCTGAATGCTTCGCCGGGGCAGTTTGGGTAGAAGTGTGTCCATACGCGGGCAATGCTTTGGGCGTGGACTGTGCTTGATAGCAGTGACAGAGAGATAAATGATGTGGTGAGGGAATGCATGGTTGCTGGTGGTTTTGATATCTGTGAACTTATAGATCTTATAGATTTTGATGATCAGATCGAATTGGTTGATTGCAAAATATATGAAGAAAGATGCTCATCTACTGCTCTTATATACATAAAGCGCCCTATCACCTTTCTCATTCCATGATTGCTGTACTGCGGTAATGGGATGGCGGGGAAGAATGACTGGAATGAGTATGACGCTGAATGTGAAACGCGTCTAAACTTCAAATTAAGCCTCTGCGTCATACCCAGGGGCTGGAAAGTGTCATGAACTCCGATTTTTTCTTAATCGGTTGTCTGATCGCGCATTCCAGCCCCAAAGGGTCCATATGATGTCGATCTAGGATCGTGCGTGGTATGTGGGTACTCCCTATACATTCCGATGAATGGCTAAGCGCCTCTGAAAAGGCCTGGAAATGCTTGGCAACCAATGAATACCCCCATACTATTCGTCCATTCTACATAAAGAAATGGCAGGTTAAACATGATTGGTGATATTAATGTACGAGGTTGGCCGGTGATCATTCCGCGAGCATATTATTGGTGATAACTTTGCTTGACAGCCTGTTGACACTTCTAGATTGAATATCGACTTTGTTATTGAAATATAACTAAGATATCATCCCTATCAAGGATTTTGATTCTATAAATATTGTACACAAGCGACAAAAGCGAGTGTCACTCAACAAGACCTGTCGCTAAATCTACCAAAAGACGAAAATCTGAGTCTATTTACATACCCAGCTTAAAACCACCCCAGCTAAGAGTGGAGAAAACTCCAGCGGGATCATAAGAAGACCTGATCTCTCTCATGCGAGCGACGTTCTCACTGGGGAAACCCGCATAAGGATCTTGCCACTCACCAGCATCACCCATGTAGACGAACTCGGAAGAAATTCCCAGCTCTTTGTTGATAGTGTGAAGGTGCTCGGCCAATTGACGGGACCAACCCTCCATGCGAATATCGTCTTGTGCTAGGGCCCAGCCGGTACTGAATTGCCAAACTGCACAACGATGGTAAGTAAGAAGCGAAACTGAAGCAACTTCCCAAGGACTTACTGATAAGAGGTTCTTCTTCAAGACCCCAAACGTTGCCAACACCGTTGGTCTTGGCCACGCGAATTGAAGTCGGGGACATAACATTAGTGACGAAAGTCGGGTAAAGGCCCTGGACATCAGCGATCTTGTCGACTGCGGCTTTCCAAGCCTCATAAATGGAAAGAAGAACCTTTGCGTCGGGCTTCATCGTCTTGTGAGAAAATTGGACACTAACTAATCAGTAAGCTGAAAACTGCAATACAGTCAAGATCACATACCGGAACATCTGTTTGGGGGAGTCAAGGGCATTAGCCCATGGCTTGATGGTAGTGACGTTGTGAATTCTTTGGACGGCTGGAATCTTGGTAAAGTTGGCGAACTGCGATGGGGGGCTGCTGACACCCTCCTGGACACCGAGGACAGAGCCTTGTGCCACCTTGGTAGTCGCATTGTAGGCGATAGTGGCGATCATGCCCGCAGCAATGGGGTCTTTATCATCTAGCTTAGCCGCCTCACAGACAGCCGAAAGATACTGGGGGATGTTTGTCTCGTTGAAAACCTGGATAGTGGTGCTGACTTTGGGAATAGCAAAAGTCTTCAATTCGAATTTCGTGACGATTCCAAAATTGTTTGCACCACCCTTCAAGGCCCAGAAAAGGTCGCTGTGTGAATTCTTGTTGACGGTGATCTGTGTTCCATTTCCAAGAACGACATCGTAGGTGACCACATTGTCCATGGCGTATCCGTACTTGTTGTTGAAGTAGTGGAAGCCACCGATAAGACTGAGTCCGGGAACACCAATTGTCTTCATACGGCCACCGATGCAGACACGGCCATGAGGCTCAAGTGCTGAGTACACCTGGTACCAATTGAGGCCGGGGCCAACCTCCACGGTGTTGCTCTTCACATTGACAGAGTTCAGATTCGACAGGGCAATCAGAACTCCAGCATCGATGTTGTTCGCTCCAGGATACTATTGTAGAGTTAGAGAGTTAGTGATATTCCGTTGCTTCTATTGCCACCTCGGATATAAGCTTACGTTCATGTGGCCTCCACCGCGAACAGCAAACTGCGCATTGCAGGCACCGATAACCTTGACTGCTTGGGACACTTCAGCAGCAGTGTTAGGCACAAAAACACACGCAGGAGAAAGATTCGCCCGGATATCCCAGTAGTTATCGATGGTCTGAGTCGTGTAGTTTCCCGAACCGGGAAAGATCACGTTCTTTGGCATAGACTGAGAAAGCTCCGTGCAAGCACATGAAGCTCCATTTGGAACTTGAAGAGTTCCAGAAGAAGTGGAGAGGAAGCCCGTTACAGTTGCCGAGGCGCCAGCACTGCTCACACTAGCATGCACAAGGCCCGAAATGGATAATCCAACAAGGGGAAGGAGAAGCTGCATTTTGATTATTGCAAAATCGAATTTGTGATCATCGATACTTCTCAAATAACCGCAGGGGCCAATCCTTTCTTATAGAAGCTGGAAACTATTCTGTCTCCTGTTTTCATGGAATCTGTGACTAGGATGGTTCCACTCCGGCCCACCATGAGATAACCCTATTTTGAGGGTACTCCATGATGATCATGGCAAGGGCTCGGTTTCGGATCGACATTTGGGTCCTCCCAATATATTCCACATGGATTGAACAGGGCTGAATCTCGTTCAAGCAGAAAAATTAACATTTCCAACCATGGATATAGGCAACTGGATAAATTTAAGCTTATAATGTTCACTGAACAAGATCTGTAGGTGCACCGATGAAGTAGATAGACAGGCTAGATAATACGAACCCGAATCCGAAAAATAAAGTTACGAATCCGAGATGTTCTGGCCAATCAGAGACCGAGACTCTAATATTATTCGGACTTCGGGTTCGGATCTTTGATCTTGAGCCATCCATGGTTATTGATCTGGGAAACGGTTGTTTCAAGATTGATCTGTCCAAAAAAAGCCGAACCAGGAAGAAGATTTTAATCGGCAGCCTAGAGTCCATAGCTTTACGCGGGGCCCGCCACTTGGATCCATACCCAAAATAAGCTCATAGGGACAAGGCTGTCTACCTCTGCTTTCCGTACCAATGGCCCTCTCCCCACACCTCTTTGTATCTCCGTACAACTTCTCGGATTCCAACCCGAGTACGTGAACCCCCCAAAATAGATTTCAGGGTTCAGCACTAAATCTTGCAGAAAATTTCTAGCAATGCAATTGAGAAGCAGATATAAAAGCTTCATCAATCGCTACATGGATTATCATTCACAGTCAACATAGCTTTCAGCTTCGATACTATTCTTACTATTCAATTACATCTTCACCTTTGCTAAATTCAAACCACCGGAGCCATGGCCAGCGAATCCACATACACTCTCTACAAATATGACCCGTCGGGAGTTGCGGCGCTCGTCTTCGTCGCTCTCTTCGGATTAACCACCTCGGTACACATTTTCCAAATGATCCGGAATCGATCATGGTTCTTCATTCCTTTCATTATCGGAGGACTCTGTAAGTTTATACCCCATTCAGGAAGGAAGACATAAAGCTAACTTGCTTATAGTTGAAGCTGTCGGCTATGTCGGTCGCTATCTTAACTCGCGAGAAACACCCGATTGGACAACGGGCCCTTATATCATGCAATCACTATTGCTCCTTGTCGCACCAGCATTCTTCGCCGCATCCATTTACATGATCCTGGGCCGCTCAATCATCTCCACCGGCCATGAGCAGCTCTCCGTCATCCGAGTCAAATGGTTGACCAAAATCTTTGTCTGCGGAGACGTGGTCTCGTTCCTCGCCCAATGTGCTGGCGGTGGCTTCCTGGCTTCCGGAAAGACCCAGTCCAAGATTACGCTCGGACAAAACATCATCATTGCCGGTCTTTTCATCCAAATTGCTTTCTTCGGATTCTTTGTTGTGACCGCCGGTGTGTTCCATTACCGGCTCTTGAAGTGCGATGATTGCGTTTCCAAGACTATCACGGTACCCTGGATGAAGTGCTTGTATGTGCTATACACGGCTAGTCTGTTCATCATGATTCGGTCTATCTTCCGTGCTATTGAGTATATTACGGGTACAAATGGCCCGCTCATGTCAACGGAGGTGTACCTGTATGTCTTTGATGCTGCTTTGATGTTCTTGACTATGGTTACCTTCAACATTTTCTCTCCAAAGTCATTGATTACTCCCCGGTCGGCTATAGGGGACATTGAATCGCCAAGTGCAAAGGAACTTGTCGATATGAGAGATGCCTGAGACATACTCTAATGCGATAAAGAAAACAATTTATTACTTTGGAAGGGAAAAGGGGAGTACCATGGAATATTTTTAGGTTAACGTTTCTTTTGTGGGTCGGAGTGGTGGCGCTAGCATTTTGGCATTTGATGAATTTCTTTTTTTTTTCACATTTAAATACTCACTGGAATATAAACACTACATCATCTCTCCCCGGTTATCCATATACCTACTTCGACCTGTACATGTTCAGTCCAGCAAGGAGGTAACATGGGACCTCGACGGGCGCACAAGAAGTCTAGAAACGGTTGCCAATGGTGCAAAGCCCGCAAGATCAAAGTGAGTGCCCCGAAGAAAGTAATACATCTGCCTAATTTTCTAACATGTTCAAAAGTGCGATGAAACCAGACCGCACTGTAATAACTGCTTCAAACATGGAATAGAATGTGTTTTCGGTGAGAGCACCCCCGCAGCCTCCGCCAGGCAATCGGGGTCTCCTTCAACTCTTAGCACTTCCAGTGCCCCAACTTCCGTCACCTCGGGGGAGAACGCCCCACCAATGGGCATGGCCGAGATGGCTCTTCTGCACCATTACTCTACATCAACCTGCTATACGATTTCACGCAATCCAATTCTGCAAACAGTATGGCAAATCCGGATCCCGCAAGTCAGCTTCACTTCGCCATTCGTATTCCGCGCCATCATCGCTTTTTCCGCGCTGCATCTGGCGCATGTGAAGCCCGAATTTCACGACCATTACGTCTCCCAAGCCGAGTTTCACCATAACACCGCCTTGCAGATGGTGTCCGCCATTCTCCCAGATGTCAATGCAGAGAACTGTCAAAGCATATATGTCTTTTCGATTCTGACCTGCGTTATCTCCTGTGCCAAGCCGCGCATCAGACACGATTTTTGGGCAAATAGTGATCGAGATATCGAGTGGTTAAACCTCTTTCGTGGCACAATACATATCCTGGCGTCAGCGGATCACTCCATCAAGACGGGACCGCTAGCACCAATGTTTGCGATGGGTCGCCGCAGGCAGCTGGCTCGGGACGCGAGGTCTGCCATGGCTACGCCGCCGTTTCTTCTCGCTTTGAAAAAGCTCTTAGAGGATACAGTTCAGGATCCCTGTGAGCTGCGGTGCTATCACGACTCAATCGATGATATGGCGATGTCATTTGCCACTGTCGAAGAAATTGGGTCACATAATTGCGAGACTGCTGATGTATTTATTTGGTTGTTGAGAGTTTCAGATCAGTATCTTGGGTACTTCCAGCAGCGCACGCCTGAAGCGATGGTGATTTTTGCATATTTCTGTGTTATTATGAAAGAGATGGAATGGGCTTGGTGGATGCAGGGGTTCAGTACCTATACTATTAGTGGTATATATTACTTTTTGGATGAGGAGCATCGCTGCTGGTTACAGTGGCCTATGCAACAGGTGGGATGGGTTCCGTGAAACAAATGCCATTATCCATATTTAATATACTATACTACTCTACCTAATCCTTCATCCCTGCTACTCACTTTGCTCAAAGTGAACGGCAAGGTTTATACACAGCATGCTGCAGCTTATTCGATGAAAACCGCTTCTTATGTCGGAGATTCAGGCCCACCTGTCGAGTCTTGCGGGTCATGGATTTTTTTTTTTTTTTTCGTATGTGCTCTGATAGGCACGGCTAGTGACAAGTCAGTCCATCTATAAGTCTACTTATAGTTTTCATGCATGCTGATTCAAGCTCTTCATCACTTCTTCTCAACAGGATGCTTCTGCAAACTCTCATACCACTGGATCATAGATCCTATCATGAAGGCTATCGAGCCCCAAAATGTAGCGAGTGACGATTGATAATTCACGCCAGAGTTGCTACTCGCCGGTCCCAGCGCACCACACAGAGTAAAACCAACACTGCCAATAAGATTCCAGAGCCCAATGTGCCAGCCCAGAACATGCCAAGCAGGAAGGTACCATTTTGACTGCGTTTCAAGCATGTACATCAGAGAACTCAGAGTGAATCCCACCCCACCAAGAGTAGTAGTACCCCAGTAGAGGCCATCAATGAGTCCCTTACTCATGTGGTTTAAGATACCAGGGATGCCGACAATTGCACCAATCCAGAATATCGTCGCGCTCACGAATAAAATAAAAGAAGCTAAAAAGCCAATTTCATGAAAATAATGCGTGCGCAATTCCGACATCGACGGAATCCATCGGAATGACCTGCCATCTGTCGACGAAGTAACATAACCAGTGCTATCCCGCTGAGAGTGGGCACTGTCACTAGCATGATAGTGCTTTTCCCCGAGAAACGATTTCCGATTCGCATGATGATGCTCACAATTTGAGGCCGTCGGCCTGAGCTCATTCACTGCATGCCGAGGAATCCCATCCTCGATGGTCTTTTCGAGGACGGTCTCAAGCGCCCAGCCAAAACATCCAGTATGATTGGTATTGAAAGCTTCGAGAAGCAGCAATACACCCCCGATTTCAAAAATAGTCGCGCCGACGAACCCTGTCCAACCGCCGGCAACGGATATTTCACCCTGAAACTCGGTCTTCTTGTCCACAAGTGGTAACCACACGAAGAACCCATTGATGATGAAGATTGCGGACCCGATAGTGAAGCTCATGGCGACTAGATATGATACATCCCAATAAGGGACGTAGGTCACCATCCGGAGAAAGATCTTGGCCACTGCTGGAACAGATCGCGTCAGTGGTGGTGCTTTCAATCCCGTTTCGAGGGGTAAGGCCTCTGTGTCGATGCGAATAGCATGTCGGCCCTTCCTGTTGTCGCGCGATCGCCATAGACGCTCTATTTGCGGGGGAGCATGGGTGTCTTCTGGGAGTTGAGTTGGTTCGTAGCGTGCCGAAGTGGGATTTAGGAAGGAAACTGGGCCCGTGACATGCGTCTCATCCAGTTTGAGACCATGATGACCTAGAGGCTTACGACCGGTCTGGAAGTGTGAACGCCGCCGCATCATATTGGCCAGGGCCGAGGTGGGGTTGTGTTGAGGTACGTCTTTGGGTGCTAGCAAAACATTTCGGGGATAACTCGACGTATATAGGTTTTGCTTTTTTGTCGATGATCTCCTTTGAATCAAACGCGGAAGAATATATATCCTACTTGAAGAGGTCGACGTCAGCGCTATGTAGATATGCGGTAACTAGAAAGCGGCGTGCCTCGACCCCCGAAATATAAACACCAGATATTTTCCGAGGTTGCCTTTTATAATAAGGTAGTAATTGACTGATTATTATGTACGTGCCCAGGTGGGTGTGGCAGAATGTAAGTGTAATTGACATCATCCCCTTGGCCATTTATAATGGGCCCATGCTTATTCCATATCGGAGTAATGGTTTCTCCGGTGCTTTGATGCCGTGGTTATCTTGGGAGCTTCAAGTTTCAACTCAATTGTTGCAATATCTGTCCAAACATACATATCAAATTCATCATCATATAGAACAAATTGATAACCATTAATGCTAAACAGAAGAAATCGACAGGTACAACATTACTCATAATCAAAAAACAGTCGCCTAAAAAATCAAAAGGATATTCCCAACTCAATTGAAGAATCGTCGACTTGATCCCCCTTAGAGGCAGATCAAGGGCCATAGGAATGTCTTCATGGTTATTCAGACAAAGAGAAGTAGACGTGAGAAGTCAGGTCTGCTTTGACCCATTCCCAGCTCTGTCATCTCCCCCATCCTCGACATAAGCAGCCTGATTGCCAGCCTCAGACCTAGCCTTGACACTAGACTCTGTCTCCGTATCAGCGCCATCCTCATCCTCATCCTCAGCTGCTTGTGTGGCTGTGCGCTGCAGACTCGCAGGCTTGGTTTTCTGAACCGCCTTGCCCTTATTCCGACTCCTGTCAGGCAACGACTGTTCCGCCTCACTCTTCAGGTCAGCACCAGACTCATCGCCCGCCTGCGACATGTGGGAGCTCTGATTCATGCTCCTTCTCGCACGGGCACGCGCACGCCGAATCATCTTGTTATGGTAGTCCTCCTGTTCAAGCTCTGTATCCTCGTGGAGGATGCGACGAGCAGCTTCGCGCCCAACAACGGGCAGTCGGTCGACACCCTGGACTCCGTCTGGCAGTAGTTTGGGATCCAGAAGACCGACTTGAACGAGGACGCTGGCTTGATCCCAATATACGTGCTCGGAGTAAAGACGCCCGGCGCGCATACTGACAATACTCACGAGGATGATCTCGACTCGCTTGTTTGTCGGCGGGACACCCGGTAGCATCCATGGAACCTCCTGCGTGTGCTCGTAGCTCACGTACAGCTCATCCACGATGCGATCGGGTCCTGTGGTACGAGATAGCAGTCGGAGGCGCATGGACGGGGGCAGTTTGCCTATGAAGTAATGCTCATAGAAATGACGCAGGGCCTTTTTTCCGATCCCGCCGCTGATAGTCGGTGTATACGTGACACCAGGGGTTTTGTGTTGAACGTAACCATCCATCGTTTTCCTGACGTTCGACGAGAAAAACTTGCCTAACAAAGCATTAGTCTACCATTGTTCGATTATTTTGCGATTGCAACTTACCCTCTACATGCTGCTCATATCGCTGCTCGTAATCCGGATCCCTGGAATACCCCTTCCGCAGGACCTTCAAAGTCCGCGTCCAGGCTAGATCCGCCGACAGATGATCGTATTCCTCTAGGTCCGTCTCCGCAAACCCGGGCACGGCATTATCATACGTAAACGCCGGGTACGCCAGATCCAATCGTTCTCCAGTCCCGATACCAGCGTTGATAGGCCGCGTCTGACGGCGTTTCTTTCCTTGCAAGCCTAAAGCGACGGGCTGAACAAGTACGTCGACAGTCTCGCCTGCCAAGTGTACGAGGACCTGGAGCGAGAGTGGGAATCGTGATCGCGTATCGGGGATTAGGCTGGGGTAATAGGCGACCAGGGCACAGAGTCGACTGGCATTGACGGAATTGATATAGTAATCGAGACAGTAGTCCGCGGCGTCGCCATAGGCTAGGGATCAGGTTAGTCGCTTCATCACTCGGAGGGTATGATGTTTAAAGAGAGCTCTTTACGTACCAATCACGGCGTAGTTTTCGCCTACACCTAGACCGTCCTTTACAGACTGCAATCGGCGAGCGTAGTCTTTTCCTCCTCCATTATAAGGGAGGTATAGGACGTCGAATCCTTCCTCCTGCCAGTTCTTGATGATCTCCATGTCGAAATCTTCGGTCTCGGCTGTGACGCATAGTCGCGCATTATTGTTGCCATTGTTGTAGAGGAATCCGCCGCTGCTCAGGCCAGGGGCACTGATTGATATGTTGGCCATTGTGCTGCTTATGGTGCTTTTCTTTGTGGTTTTCGAACGCATGTACTGCGTTGGTTGCTATGGTTGCAATTCGGTTTCTTGCAATTTATCCCCGTTTAAATTTTCAAAGACAAACGAGTCAAGCTAAGGACATGCTATGCAAAGAGTACAACTGACAGTATTGGCAGAACAGGTAAAACGAAAATTGGTAGTTGACATATAACGGGTTCCCCAGGCCTACGTCATTGGCGTCGGGCTCCTATACGTCATACCATCATCCAGTCCACAGGTGGAACATGGCATTTTTATATTAACTCTTGGCATCGACAAACAATTTGATTTGATTTTGTATTGATTCATTCTCTTTCTTCTATCCAATATTTCAGATGTTTTCTGTGGGGCTAGAAGTTCGATATGAAGATAGCATTCTGTATTTTCAAACCAGAACCCCGGTGTTTGTTATATGTATATATAGGTACATCTCGGTATGTCCTGTTCCTGTCTTTGACCCATGGAACGGTGAATCATACAGTAGTGGCTTCCAAGGTTAATAGGTGACGAAAGTTCAAGGGACCTCGAAGTCTCGAGTGGGGGCCTCCGTGGAACGGCTCTCGACAAACTAGAAACTGTTATAGTTACTATTTATATCTACTGCTTCCCACCCGGTAATGAACATGACCTACTCTGTAGTACATACAGTTCCGCAAAGCCCATAAAGCCCATAGCCCAGCCCAACCCAACCCGCAAATGGGCTGGGCTTTGGGCCCTACCTTCGGGCCCACCGGTGGGCTATGGGCCTAAGTAGAAGCCCACTGCGGGTTGATGGGTCCCCAAATGGGCCCCAAACAGTACAAATATGCCGAGAATTTAGATGCCAAGTAAAGTTGAACTCCCTTTTAGGGTTTTTGAAATTACCCTTCGTTTTACCCCCGTTTCTAAGCCTTATCTAAGAGGTAATATTTTATTAGTTTAAAGTATTTAGAATCAATTACTAGTTATCTCTCTATATCACGTTCAAAAACGCGAGAAGGCGCGTTATTTAGACAATTTATAAATTACAAAAGTTCACTTAGAAATCAGTAGTACTCACTCCTATACAAATCCTAAATATATATCTTATCAAAACATTAATATTAACCTTTTTTGTAACCTCTACTGATCGGATGTTCTTCAAATTTGAAACATATACTTACATAGCTACTATAATTCTAGATTCTGAATTTGAACTTTATATACCTAGCAGAAGGTCGTGATATAGCGATTACAGAGGCCGTCTAAGATGGGCCCCCACAAATGGGCTGTGGGTTGGGTTGGGCTTCGTGGAGCGCTACTCTGTACGGCCCATAGCTGTATAACGTATAATATATGCTAGACGATATGTACATCGTTTGATTATCTTCTAACAAATGTTGCACCAACAATATCGGCATAATTATAAATCGCCCATGAAGTATGCAAATACCAAAAATCGAAATGATCCGAGCCAACGTGCGAAGAGAAGAGGAAAGCTGTATAATAGTATCCATGGATACACATTGCCAAATAAGCTGATACTCATCGATAACCCGGGAAAGAGCGTCCCCCAACCATTTCCAAGAAGTTAGCGCGAGCTCTGTCAATGATTCATCCCCTTCGTGTTGCTAGAACAAGATGCCAGCAGCAGAACATCCGCACTGTTCCTGAGGCTGTCGTAAGCCGAGGATTATTAACAGACAGGATCGAAGGCACAGGGGAACATGGTCCTCGTGCAGGGCGTTGATCGTGGTATTGAAAGGGGGAACCAATCACCTCAGCACTATAGCGTTAAAGTCATCCTCGACAACCTGCACCTCGAGACAGGAGGCGTCGAAATGTTGCGAAAAGCGATCGCTCCTTCGTGGCACCGGGATTTCAATGGGATTTAGGCTAGTGACAGGGCTGTGGAGCTCCTTCAAAATCATTTGCATGATACAGCAGGCCATGATCCCACTCGTTTACCACCCACCAGATTCGTAGGAGTCTTTGGGGTTACGGCGGCGGAGCTCAACTGTGCGACTCTTTGTCGGATTATTGACAGCTTCAGTTGAAGAAATGCCTTAGCCCACCCGTATTTTAGGGATAAGCCCTTTCGGATTCTGATATATTGCATTCCTGTCCGTTTTACAATATGTCGAGCCTGGTGACCACCACGTTGCACTTTTCGCCGTTAATAAAATAAAAATGAAGGTGGCCTCGGAGCATGGGGATAGCATGAAGTATTATTGGCGAAATCATATGCTGTAAATGAGAAGGAGCGAAGGGCGTTGCGCTGGTCGGCGCCGAACTGAATTTTGTTCTGTGTTGTTCGGCGCCGAAGTCATTCTACCCCCGAGATTCTGAACTATCCTCAATCACTTATAAGTCTGCCCATTTCCCTTCATACATGTCATTTTAAATCAATCAAAAATATTTGATTACTTGCTATTTAACAACTTTTGGATTTCACCATGACTCGACCGATAGAAGAGCAGCTTGACCAGGTCTCAACAACCACCGAGAAGCCCTCCGAGGCCAAGGAAGATGAGACCAACTTACCAACGGGGACGCGACTGCTAGCTATTATTATTTCTATTCTGTTTGCTATGTTTTTGGTTGCCTTGGTATGAGTATCATATTTCCTACTGCCTATGTGGATTTGTACTAACAAGTCTTTGAACATTCTAGGATCGTACTATCATTGCCACGGCAGTTCCCCGAATCGCAAACCAGTTCAATGCTCTTGACGATCTTAGCTGGTATGCAAGTGCATATCTGCTGACGAGTTGTGCCACCCAGCTATCCTGGGGCAAGGTGTACACCTTCTACTCGACCAAGACCATCTTCCTAATCGCGATCCTTATTTTTGAAGTCGGATCGGCGGTCTGCGGTGGCGCTCCCAACTCCAAAGCCTTCATTGTGGGACGTGCGATAGCAGGAATTGGATCGGCGGGCATATTTTCCGGTGCGACAGTGATAATCGCACAAATCGTGCCGCTGGCCAAGCGGCCCATCTACGTCGGGCTGATGGGATCGACCTTTGGGCTTTCGTCAATCATCGGACCTTTGATGGGTGGTGCGTTCACAGACAACGTAACATGGCGTTGGTGCTTCTACATCAACCTACCTATCGGTGGTTTCACCATGGTCATCTTGTTCCTTTTCCTGGCTGTCCCCCACAACCCCCAGCCGTGCACCTGGAAGCAACAGATCCTCCGCCTCGATCCCCTGGGCAGCGTGCTCTTCCTGCCCTCTGTCATCTGCTTCCTGCTGGCCCTACAGTGGGGCGGTACAACCTATCCCTGGAGCAACGGGCGCATCATCGCACTCTTCGTCATCTCAGGAGTTTTGATGATCGCCTTTGTCGGCGTGCAGATCTGGCTCAAGAAGGACGCAACGGTGCCACCTCACGTCTTCAAACAGCGCAGCATCATCAGCGGAGTCGTCTTTTCCCTATGTGTAGGTGGTGGGCTAATCTCTATGCTGTACACGCTCCCACTCTGGTTCCAGGGCGTGCGCGGCACATCTGCTGTGAAATCCGGCATCGACACGATCCCTATGGTGCTGGCCCTTGTTGTCGGAGCCATTTTATCTGGATCAATCATCACCGCAACGGGATACTATGTTCCGTGGATGTTTGTTGCGGCGATTTTCATGTCGACAGGCGCAGGATTGATGACGACCTTCAAGGTGGACACCAACCACGCCGCCTGGATTGGGTACCAGGTATTGTTTGGTATCGGTATCGGCACGGGAATGCAGCAGCCCTCTATGGCGGCGCAGACTATTCTCCGTAAAGATGAGGTCGCCATTGGTATCTCGCTCATGTTCTTCGCGCAGTCTCTCGGTGGAGCTATCTTTATCGCTGTCGCTCAGTCACTCTTCCAGAATTATCTCAGTGCAAACCTACCCCACATCCAGGGAATTGATGTGGCCAACATCCTGGCGGCTGGGGCAACGGGTCTCTCTGATACTGTCCCGGCTAGCAAGTTGGCCGAGGTTCTAGCTTTGTACAATGATGGCCTTCGGCGGTCGTTCATTGTCGCCGTAGCGGTGTCCTGTCTGATGATTCTCCCTGCGCTGACGATGGAATGGAGGTCAATCAAGAAGGAGAAATCGTCTGCCACGGCTGCTTGAAGAGTGCTGTTTTGTATGACTATATTATATGGGTAAGAGGTAAGTAAGTTTAGATATTAGAATGTTAGTGCCTGGGCCAGGGGTTAGAAATATATAATACTTCACTACGGTGTACTATGGAGCATAACTTAGCCAATCCGTACATAGCATTACCTAGATCTTCAAGATGATCCATGGATGCCCTCACCTTAATTTCACTTGCAAAATCCGTTTTTAGGCCATATTAATTGTGATTGGATGAAATTGAGTCGAAGGAGGAAAAAGCTTTCGACCTAACGAGAGTGGCGGCAATTTAGGCGAGACTGGGCGAATCAGAGCGGGAAACTAGTACTATTAATATCCACCTGAGCATCTATCCAGGTACTTATGACTGTAGCTCTAGTGTACTTCGAGTCTAGGGGGAAAAATTAAACGTGTCAGGTGCTATAGCTTTTCATCACATCTAGCTCCAAGCTACGCTAAGCACAAAAATCGCACAATAAGTAGCTATTCATATGCAAATAAATAAAACATTAACATTCAATTGAGTAGCCGAAAAGACATTGTACACGTTAAATACATAAAAGCTGTGCTGCATACGACCTTGGGGAGGGAAAGGACCCGGTTTTTCCACGACAAGACCAATTTCCCCTCCACAACACCTCATCTGTTCAACACAGAGCAATGTCACTGGTGCAGCATGTTTCTGCCATTGACGGTATTGATCGCGAACCCGAACCGGACTCAGTTGACGACTGCGACTTCGTTCCCATTCGACGAAAAATTAGCTACGATGTCCTCCAACCTCCGAGCGAGGTTATCCCGGTCGCAGAAACGCGTCCTGGAACACCGGCGTACAAACATTCCCCCGCAAAGAGAATAGGTATGTACTCTTCACCTCAGGTAAGACAAACTTCTGACACCATCCAGCACAGGTCGCCGTCACCGTGCTGGCGTGCTGGAGCGCGTCGGGGATCGTGTTTGGCTTCGCGGCGCTCAAGCCTGTCCTCGTTGAGGAAGGCGTTTATCACGAGCGTTGCACTCCTGCCGAAATAGAGGAAGGACTCGAGTTGTGCTCACAACAGGACCTTAGGTATGATTGTTGCACATACCGCCCCGAGTTATGCTTGGCGCTAATCAACTGCTAGACTCAACCTGTTCTTCACCATTGCTTCGATAACAGCCAATGTCTCTGCTCTTCCAGTTGGGACGATCTTGGATCGATGCGGATCACGTGTCTGCTGGTTCATTGCTTGTCTGTTGCTTGCTATCGGCGGTGTCATCATGGCCTTTGCATTCCATGAACCTGGCTTCGATGGCTATATTCTGGGGAATTTCTTCCTAGCTCTGGCTGGCACCTTTTTATTTGTTCCCTCGTTCCAGATCGCGAATGCGTTCCCTAAGTATGCGGGGTCGATCGTCGCGCTGGTGACTGGTGCATTCGATGCCTCTGCCGCTGTGTTCCTCTTTTATCGGCTCATTTATGAGGCGTCGGACAGATCTTTCACCCCGGATAGGTTCTTTCTGGGCTATTTAATAGTCCCCGTGTGTATTTTCATTGCACTCGTGACCATTATGCCAGCACGTGACTATGTCTCGACCCTGCAATTAGAAAATAAGATTGAAAAGGCCGAAGATGCCACGCGCGACGTCCACGACTCTGATGATGAAATCGAGAGCACGTCGGAGCTAAACCGGGTGCGGAAGAAGCGAGCGGAGCGGCGAAAGAAGAAGATCCGCCAGATCGATGCAGTGCTCGGTGATAGAGGCGAGCGGCAGATGCGTGCGGAACGAGAAGAGGATCGCCAGCAGACGAGTTCGGTCTGGGGTGTAATGCATGGTCTCCCAGCGCATAGGCAGATGGCTACACCCTGGTTTATCCTGATAACGCTGATGACTGTTTTGCAGATGATTCGAATGAACTACTTTATCGCGACGATTCGCTCGCAGTATGAATACATGCTCGGATCGATCGAGGAGGCAGATAAAATAGGTGCCTTTTTCGACGTCGCGCTGCCGGTCGGAGGTGTTCTCTTCACGCCCGTGATCGGGTACCTGCTTGATCGCCTCAGTGTGCCAGCGATGCTTGGGCTGATTGTGCTTTTCACCACAGTCATTGGTGTACTGAACTCCATCCCGGCTGTTTGGGCTGGCTATATGACCGTTGTGCTTTTTGTCTTACTCCGGCCTCTCTATTACTCAGCCATGTCGTATGTTTTCTTTTCCCACTCACCGCTACATTCTAGGTGCTAATCTTGGCCCTAGTGATTATACCACCAAAGTCTTCGGTTTTGCCACGTTTGGACGTGTGTACGGCGCCATTATTTGCCTCTCGGGAATCGCAAACTTCTCTCAGTATGGCCTCGACGCATTGACGCATCATACGTTTGATGGGAACCCAATCCCAATCAATGCTGTCTTGGCAGTAGCAGGATTCATTGTTGGAACATCACTTGTGATCTTTGTTTTCGTATCTGTGAGACAGCTGAGAGAACAGGATCGGGTGGATGAGGAAGAACGCGAGAGGCTTCTCTTGGAAGAGGATGAAGAAGAGGACGAATACGAGGATGATGGAAGTTACCGTTGATCTGGTTAGCAGTTTTAGGAGGTTGAACCGATTAAACCGATTAAACCGAGGTATAAAAATGAAATTTAGTTCTCAACATGGTCAGCCATTTCTATCTATTGTCTATATTCTCAGTGTTCTCATAAGAACTCTAATATTGAATCCTTAAATGCCATCACATGGTGTATAGTGGGGCTGTATTCCGAACCAACCGCTTGCAATAGGAGAGCCTAGAGTGCTTGGATATAGCCTATATTATCCATGCCTTGTGCATAATGATATCACCATATACGAGACTTATACGGCAACGCTATCTACTACCAGCATTATATCAGCATTAGCCCAGGATTATCGAGGCTGTTCTACCTCACAAATTACACTTTCGGCATTTCCGATCACGGTTTCAGCTCCGACGTATTAAGAGGCGTGGAATGTTAAAGTTCCCTCATAAACTCATATCTGACTCTTGGCCGGAACTCTCCCCAGGTGACACAAGTAGCTGTCTCCTTACTCAACTTGGAATTTTAGAAAAGAAGCAAGGGATTTTGTGGATTTTGCTATTAACAACAATTACAAAGTGCGTAAATCAAAGGCTGAGAAACCCTAACCAAGCAACATTGGCAACAGAGCAGAGATAGAACGGATCATCTTTAGTTCCACAAAAGTGACGTCTCTAACCAACCATCAGATTAAAATCCCCAGGAAAAGGAGGGGACCAAAGTGTATCACGTAGTCAACGCGCAAGTTGCCAAGTTGCCAAGTAACTTCCCCCGCATTTACTCCCCCATCGCCCCCGGATTATGCCCAGAAGCAGCCACCCATCTCAACCAACTCACTGCGCAAGAGATGACTCGTAGAGGCTCTCCCTAAGTGGGGTGACCTCCCCCTCATTTGTTTCGGACAATATTGCTGCGTATGCCCTTATTCTATGGCATTTGTGCTTGTCCCGAGGCACTTTCCTAATTGCTCTCGGCTATTGCTTTCTTGATGGTCGTGTTTCTTGGAGATTTTCCTGGGCAGATTGAACTGGGCTGCAATAGGCGAGCGTCGATTTTGAATGGCTGGTTTAGGAATAGATTGGATTTATTCTCGAGTTGATTCCCTACTTGGATATATAATTCTTGATCCTTGCTGATCTGCTTGTTTGCTAGATAAGGCTGCAGCTTTGTCTTCTATTTCTGGCCAAGACAATTCAATTATTTTTTCTTCTTACTTTCCCCTACATCTTATCTTTTTATCAAATACTCCAATTCAGTTCGGACATATTGGCATGGGAACCATGACTCCCATTGATGAGAAACCGATTGATGACCACCGCATCGAGGACATCGCGGGGAAGAGCCCTCCCAGCGACGAGGATGACGAGTTCACACCACAGGAACAGAAGAAGATTATTCGACGGATTGATCTGCGTCTGGTGACTATGACCGGATTGGCTTATTGTATCTCGCTCATGGATAGGACAAATCTGAGCATGGCCGCCGTTGCAGGGTAAGGCTACAGTCGTCTGGGTGCATGATATTCAACGATGACTGACCTCTGGAACAGCTTGAAAAAAGAATTGCGGCTCGACGTAGGCGAGCGCTATGTAAGTTCTAATAGATTGATCACATTTTGCAAAAGACGAAAAGCTAACCTCTGAATAGTCCATTGTCGTCCTGATGTTCTTCGTTCCCTATATCATCTTCCAGCCGCCGATGACGGTCATTATTCGGAAAGTTGGCCCGACATACTTCCTGGGCACGATTATTGTATGCTGGGCGGGGATCATGATTGTAAGGGCTTTCCGTTTTCTCAACGTGAAGACTCTGGTTTATTGACTGGTGCAGGGAATGGGATTCGTCCAGGACTGGGGCGCATTGGTTGGAACGCGTGTGCTTTTGGGTGTACTGGAAGCTGGTTACTTCCCTGGTTGTGTCTACTTGCTATCTTGCTGGTATACCCGATGTAAGATAAATAGCCAAAGATCTCTCCAAGTGGATGCACGGTGCTGACTCTTCAAAGATGATGTCCAAAAGCGATTCTCCGTTTTCTATCTCATTGGATGTGTCGCTTCGGCATTGGCGGGTATCCTTGCTTTTGGTCTGATGCAATTGAATGGAAAGCACGGATTGACCGGCTGGAGATGGATTTTCATCCTCGAGGGAGTGGTACGCATAGTTGGGCTAACCGAAACACAACCACCGAGCTAACAAGCAACATAGATCACCGGCTTTATTGGCATCCTGTGCTTCTTCTTCCTCGTCGACTTCCCTGACCGCGCACACAAGTCCTGGCGCTTCCTAAACGAGAGAGAATGCGCATTCATCGTTCGTCGCATCAACAAGGACCGAAACGATGGCGATATGGAAGCCTTCTCCCTTAAGAAGTTCCTCAAACCTGCAACGGATCTTAAGATTTGGGGCTTTGCTATGATCTTCTTGTGCGTTGCCTTTCCAGACAGACTCGATTCCTG